GTTAAGTGTTTCTCCATTCTTTCTTCCCCTCCCTCTCTTTCCACTGCCCAGTCGCTCCTTGGTTCAACTGTAGGACATTTCTTCCACCTACTTCAGGAGTAGGAAAGTGGTCCATTGTCAGTCTCTTTTCCTCATGCACGTAGTTCACATTCAAAGGTTTGCTGGGAGTTGTACTGAACCCTCCAGTCCTGTAAGAGCAGTTTCTGTTGCCTCTAACAGTAGCTTTCTAAATAGCAATGAGTCACTTTAGACATCAAATGTAAATAGAAACTAGATTTTCATTAACTTGTTAATAGCTTTGCTGGTAAATAATTGTGCTGCACATAACAATGTAAGGTCATAGTTCATAAACTGGAAAAGTAATTAGCACCATCTTGAAAGAAAAAAAACCTTAGGGTCTAATTCTAAAACTATGCTTGTAGAAGGATATGTAAACATCAAAGTTTTGGGTAAAAGTGTGGGTGAACAACTTGAAGACCTTATTTAGCCAACTGACCATGCCCTCAAGCCCAGACGCTCTTTCATTATGGTCCAAGAAGCGGGATCCTCGACACTGAAAAAAAATCTGTGTGCCTCCAAACATCTTTCCTGCCCACTGGAAACTTCTTCTTTATTTGGAAATGTTCTCAGGAACTCAGACCATCCCTTCTTCCCCTTTGTCCAGTCAGATTATAGTACTGAACCCTCAGCTAGCCCTGTCCCTCTTTCCATGGCTAGACAGAAAATAATATTTTGTTTTGATGGTTTGCGGCTTGTACTATTAACAGGTGCCTGAATCTGCTCCCCAAGGGTGCTCTGAAACCTTTCCTTGCATGTTCCAATGCATATGCTCCTGCAACCTCCACACCACATAAATTGTGTAGCTTCCCATTTGGACTACAGCAAGATGTGGTCCTGCTTCTTTTCCCTTTTTTTTTTTTGATGCTTGGCTTCTTGACCTTGGGACTGGACTCCCATTTGAAATATCACAAATTGGAAGTGTTTTTCGTCTTGCTTTAATTCACTCCCTGTTCCTTTGGTATCTTGCCTATTCTCTGAAGTTGACTAACTTGTGTTACATTTATCATTTTTGAGCAACTTTTTGTATTGGGTGTGTGCTTAACATTATTTTGATTAAGATTTTTTAATTTCCCAGCCCAGATACTAGTGTTATTCTCCATAAAAAACTTTATTGCTTGTTCTCATTCTGTTTGGATTTCAGTGTTCTCTCATGCCTTGCTCACAGTACTATTGTGTGTGCCACTGCCTAGATTTCAGGGTTTCTTTAAACTGGAAGTAGAACCTAAGCCAGCATTTCCTTTAGGCTTTGCATGAGGGATGTGCTCAAGCTTAGTGTGGATTTTGGCTGAAGTTTGAAAGTGGGCCCTATATCACATGGAAGCAAATCTTCTGAACATGCATCTTTAATATCTGTTTCATCTACCAGCAGTATGTAAATGAGTTATTTCCCCCCCCGTTAAACACAGCTGTAAATGCAGAAGGAGTGTCTGTTGTATTTTCACCCTAATGCACAGTCTGTGACAATAAAATGTACTATGCAAGTATACTAATGCATTCAAGTTTCTGTTTAAATTATAAACATTGTTTTATATTAAATTATTCTTTTTCTTAATTCTTTTATTTTAGAGAACAAGTTCGGTTTAATGGTTTCGGGATTTTTATATTTATTGTTTATCCTGGGGCATTTGTTGATCTCTTCACCACGCACTTGCAACTTATTTCTCCAATCCAGCAGCTAAGAATATTTTGTGCAGGTAAATAAGTTCAGCTTATTATGTTGGAACATGATTTGTTCTTTATGTTTATGAATGTTTTGTTACAGACCACATCTGACTGTAAAAGGTCTTGTTGTAGCCAATGTTCCATCTAATTTTCCCCCCCTACTGAGCAGAGCAGTTCACATCCTGAGCAGAATAGAACTGCTGTAATTTTAAAATGGGCAATGGGCAGTGCAAGACCCTGCGCGGCTCGAGATTGCTGCTGAGCGGAGATTCCTGTATTAACTAAGCATGTAGCTTAGTGGCAACACTAGTTATAGTTCATATTTGGGTGCCAACATTACTGTGTTATATTCTCTAAAAAGCCCTAACACATAAGACAGCATTGTACCTCCCGGAGAAAATGAACAGTGAGGAGGTGCCCTCAACTCCTGTGCCAGTCCATTCTATAAAATAGATAGCCCAGATTCGGGCAGCAACATCTCTCAACCTTTGGTGAAGGGATTGCAAGCATCACTGAATCAGACATAATTAGCACACTGTTTCATGTAGAGAACGATGCATAGAACCAGGGTTGTGAAAGGCATTACAGGAAACAGATAGGACCTTAAATTGCTCATGGAAAAATATAGGCAACCAGTGAGTTGCTTCAGCTCAGGTGTAATGTGCTTTTTTGCAGAAGTTGATTTTTCCAAATTGGCTTTAAGGGACAAGCAAGGAAAGCAATTGTTGTTGTTGAAAATCCTTGCCAGCCACACATTTTCACCCCTATGTTTATATTCTTTCTGACTGCAGGCATAAGGGCTAGCCATGGCCAGTGGGATGAGCTCTTGGCTTTTAGCCGATGGCTCATAGCCTAGGGGCCTTTGATAATGACAGAGTAGGACCTGCCCAGGATGTATTTGTGTTTGTTTTAGATTATTTAAATTGTATTGTTCAATTTTGGCTTGGCACTTCTGAAGCCACTTCAAGTCCCTCATGGAAAAAGTGGCATAGAAATGCCCAAATAAATACACAGGTAAAGTACGTTACATTAGTTGAACTATGGCCAGATTTGCTGCATAAAAAGGGCCTGAGAACTTGACAAACAAGTTTTTTTTTTGCAATCTCTTTATTGGTTTTTCCAAAACAAACCCCCCCAAAGTTACACAATACATAATATTCCAACACTAACATCAACCTTTTAACACAATTTCTTTAACAGTATATACTCCCTTAGTTTTCTGTAAATATAATTTGTCTGAGCAAACCATAATCTGGCCATAATAAGCAAAAATAATCAGGATTATCTTTTTTTCATTTGTTGTTGTTGTTCAGTCGCACATCTTCGCGACCCCATGGACAAGATCACGCCAGGTCCTCCTGTCTTCCGCCGTCCTCTGAAGTTTGCATAGTCATGTCTAAATGTAAATTTATGTTATCATTCTTACTTTTCCACTAAGATTATTCCATAGAGTCACTAAAAGCAATTTTTCTTATATATTTAATTTATCCAAAATTTTAGCCAAACAAGTTAAACATAGTTTTTCATAATTATACCATTTTTCCTTATCCCAATTGAACTTCCTATATTATTGACTGATTATTTACTCAACAATACTTTAACCATATTTTGCAACTACTTTGTAGCAAAAGTACAAATAGGAGAAATAGTTGAGAATGGCAGTTTAAGACAGCCACTAAAATATCATATTAACTTCCCTTTGATGTCCGCTGTGCTGTACCGCAACAAACAAGTTTTAATGGATAAAAGGCACCTCTAATAATAAAGATGGGTTCAAAAACATCCCCGATTGTTTGCCTGATCTGCAAAGAACAGTTTTATCCCATCCAGGGTAAACTGGTCATTATGCTGCAAACACTCAGTGTTAACAATTGTCAGCTATGCTGCCATGGTGTTTATGGGCTGAGGTTCATTTGCTTGACCTGTGTACCAGCCGCTGCTGCATTCCTTCTTTGCCTGCTTTCTTATCAATGACCTTGTAGCTCGCCTGTGTAGTGTCTGCGCATCATATATCCGTGGGATAGCTTTTGATTCCCAGCTTCAGCTCTAACAGCCTGGGGGCCCCTTCTCCCGCACGCGGGAGACAGGCCAATTGGCCTGTGGATGGGGGGGTGCATATAGGCTTGCCAAGTCCCCCCGGGGGCGGGGAAACCCCCGCCCCAGAGGCCCATCACCCGCCGCCGGCGGATCGGGCCCCGGGCGGAACCCCACCCCCAAAGCACGTGACGTGCCCGGCGTCAGCATGTCACCCAGAAGTGACGCAGCCATGCCAGGTGCGCCGGGGGCGGGGCTGCGGTCATCCGAGGGAAAACTTTTCCTCGGATGACCGCGGCCCCACGCTTGGCATGGCTGCGTCACTTCCGGGTGACGTGCTTGCGGCGCGCGCGCGCTCCAGGAGCAAACCGGGAGTCCCCAGCTGCAGAAGAACCTAGGACTTGGCAACCCTAGGTGCATACGAATACCCTATATCCCATTGTGCTAGTAGAAATTGCGCCATTCTTAACAGTGATTATGTTACTGCATCTATAGCTCTCCAATAAAGTATAACCTTTCTGATAAGCGTGTACTCAGTTGTTGGCTGTGGGACCTGACATTCTGTTAAGAATCATCCTTCTCTTATCTACGCGTCTTTCTCAAACTGAGATGAGCGACAAAGAGGAGAACCCTATTCCCACCACATCGGGGGAGGAAACTCCCACTACCCAGATGGATGTACCGGTGACCACCACGCCGCCAGTAACGGTCCCGAAGAAAGATGTGGGGACTGTGCCAAAGACGACTTCGACCCATCTGTTCCTGACCCCCACCAGCCCAACACACCGACCCGGACAAGGGTATGTTGCGATGGAGCCAGTTTAGCCCGGACTACACGGCCGAGTCGTATGTGCTCACGCAGGGCCCCCGAAGGGACAGTAGGTTCGATATGGGTTTTGCATCAGCGGGGGGCTTTCCCCCTTTTGGGGGAACCCTGAAAGCACCGCCCAGAGCCTGGGTGACGGAACGGTCCAAGGTGCGGAGTGGCCACGCATCCCCGGATGGAGGATTGGAATTGGCTCACTGGCTGGAGGCGGCAGACCGAGAAAGGCACCAGCTAAGACGAGACTTGGAGGAGATAATCCAGGCGATCCTACAGCTGGTGGAGGGGCCGGCACGAGAGGTAGGCACAACCGGCGGTTCCTGTCCTTCCCCCCTCTCAACCAGCCCTTCCACCACCACCATGACCGGCAGATGTGCCGGTGCCGGGACCCGTGTAGGGGCCGGCACTGAGCCACGACCAGGCTGCCCGAGAGGGCCCCTGCACTACCGCCCGAAGGACCTAATTGAAGCCACATTCGATGGTGATCCAGAGGAATTGTCATACTTTGTGGTTTGATTGATTAAATTTGTGGAAGGACGAGCCACCTGTTCCTGGATGACAGTAGCTGAGTGGATGTGGTGGCTGCCCGCTTATGGGGAGCGGCCGCAGCTTGGTATGTGGGGCTGTACAATGCGAGGAGCTTGTGAACTTGGATGCAGTGGAGGTGAAGAATAGGTTTAAGGGACTAGATTTGATAGAGTGCCTGAAGAACTATGGCCAGAGGTTCGTGACATTGTACAGGAGGTAGCAATCACCACCATCCCAAAAGAAAAGAAAAAAGAAATGCAAGAAAGCAAAGTGGCTGTCTGATGAGGCTTTACAAATAGCAGAGGAAAGAAGGAAAGCAAAAGGCAAAGGTGAAAAGGAAATATTTACCCAACTGAATGCAGATTTCCAGAGAACAGCAAGGAGAGATAAGGGAGGCTTTCCTGAATGAACAATGCAAAGTAATAGAGAAAAACAGTAGAATGGGAAGGACTAGAGATCTCTTCAAGAAAATTGGAGAAATCAAGGGATCGTTCCGTGCAAAGCTGGCCATGATAAAGGACAAAAATGGTAGGGACCTAACAGAAGCAGAAGAGATTAGGAAAAGATGGCAAGAATACACAGAAGAACTGTACAAGAAGGACGTCAATGCCCTTGGCAACCATGACGGTGTAATCACTGACTTTGAGCCAGACATCCTGGAATCCGAAGTCAAATGGGCCTTAGAAAGCATTACTAACAACAAAACTATTGAAGGTGATGGTATACCAGCTGAGCTATTCAAAGTCTTAAAAGATGATGCTGTTAAAGTGCTGCACTCAGTTTGCCAGCAAATTTGGAAAACACAACAGTGGCCACAGGATTGGACAAGGTCAATATACATTCCAATCCCAAAGTAGGGCAATGCCAAGGAATGTTCAAACTATCGCACAATTGCACTCATATCACACGCTAGCAAGGTCATGCTCAAGATCCTACAAGCTAGGCTTCAACAGTACGTGGATAGAGAACTACCAGAAGTACAAGCTGGGTTTCGAAGAGGTAGAGGAACGAGAGATCATATTGCCAACATTCGCTGGATTATGGAAAAAGCAAGAGAGTACCAGAAAAATATCTACTTCTGCTTCATTGACTATGCTAAAGCCTTTGACTGTGTGGATCACAACAAACTATGGCAGGTCCTTAAAGAGATGGGAGTACCAGACCACCTCACATGTCTCTTGAGAAACCTGTATAAGGGCCAAGAAGCAACAGTTAGAACCGGATATGGAACAACTGATTGGTTCAGCATAGGAAAAGGAGTACGACAAGGATGTATACTGTCACCTTGCTTATTTAATATATATGCAGAGTACATCATGCGAAATGCTGGCCTGGATGAATCACAAGCGGGAATTAAGATTGCTGGGGAAAAGATCAACAACCTCAGATATGCAGACGATACCACTCTAATGGCAGAAAGTGAAGAGGACCTAAAGAGCCTCTTGCTCAGGGTAAAAGAGGAGAGCGCAAAAGTGGGCTTGAAGCTCAACATCAAAAAAACTAAGATCATGGCATCCGGCCCCATCACTCCTTGGCAAATAGAAGGGGAAGTCGTGGAAGTAGTGACGGACTTCACGTTCCTGGGATTCCAGATCACCGCAGACTGTGACAGCAGCCATGAAATTTAAAGAAGCCTGCTCCTTGGGTGGAAAGCGATGGCGAACCTAAACAGCATGATAAAAAGTAGAGACATCACCCTGCCAACAAAAGTCCGCATGGTCAAAGCAATGGTATTCCCAGTAGTCATGTATGGCTGCGAGAGTTGGACTATAAGGAAGGCCGAGCGCCGAAGAATAGATTCTTTTGAACTATGGTGCTGGAGAATACTCTTGAGAGTCCCTTGGACTGCAAGAAGATCAAATCAGTCAATCCTAAAAGAAATCAACCCTGACTGTTCCCTGGAAGGCCAGATAATGAACCTCTGAAGCTCAAATACTTTGGCCACCAAATGAGAAGGGAGCACTCACTGGAGAAGACCCTGATGCTGGGAAAGATGGAAGGTCAAAGAAGACGGGGACGGCAAAGGATGAGATGGTTAGACAGTGTCATAGATGCAACGAACATGAAATTGAGCAAACTTCAGAGGACAGCAGAAAACAGGAGGGCTTGGCGAGATCTTGTCCATGGGGTCGCGAAGAGTCGGACTCGACTGTGCGACTGAAGAACAAACTAAAGATGATAGAACTGTGTGGTGTGAACAAGCCCAGCTTTGTGATTTCTCTGCAAGAACACACTGCAAGAACAATACTACTAGCAATGTTGTTTTTTCAAAAACAAACGAACAACAAGAAGCAGGAGAATTATTCTAGAGTGCAATCGGTCATGCTAATTGAAATAGACTGTTAAAGCAAGGGTGTGAGCCCTGATGGCTTCAGATTGAAAATAGGAGGATTATCATTCTGGCTGAATTTTTGTGCCAATTGAGTTTAAGCCAGATGTGATTTAAGATGCTCCAAAGAGAAGCTTTTTTAAAAAAAAAAATCATGCAAGCTAGTAATAGAAATGTAGACAAATCCTTAGCTACACAATTAAAAATGAGATACTTTGCTTTATTTTTTTCATGGCAACCCAAACCCTCAGGGAAATCTCTGAAAAGGTAACTGATGTACACACTGATGACACAAAAATCTATTTGCCACAAGCTGTGCTTACTGTTTTTCATTTTGGCTTTTGCAATCCGTCAGTAATGGACATACGACAGGATTAGATGTTCAAGAAGATAAGATTTTCCAGGAAAAGGAGGGATATGCAAGGTAATTCTGGAGTTTCTCTGCATTGATTTCACACAGCATACGTCCAGGCTTAAAAAGTAGTTTTGTGTCTCCCGGGAGATGGCATTGTGGACATATTCTTGCAAATCTTTACTTGCAAAAGAAGTAACTGAGAAAAACTATAGCTATGTGGATCCTAATTGATGCTACACTGTCATACTTATTAAAAAGCTCCTCTGAAAGCAATATTAAATAATAGTGCTTTCTAAGTGTTCAAATCACTTCACGTACATTACATTAAAGGTAAAGGTAAAGGTTCCCTTGCTTGAAAGCCAGTCAAGTCCGACTCTAGGGTTGCGGTGCTCATCTCCGTTTCAAAGCCGAAGAGCCAGCGCTGTCTGAAGATGTTTCTGTGGTCATGTGGCCGGCATGACTAAACACCTAGGCGCACGGAACGCCGTTACCTTCCCACTGAAGTGGTACCTATTTATCTACTTGCAATTTCTTGCTTTCGAACTGCTAGGTTGGCAGGAGCTGGAACTAGAGACGGGAGCTCACTCCATCTTGCGGCACCCGGGTCTTGAACTGCTGAACTACCGACCTTCCACAGCCTGCAGTTCAGCGTCTTAACCACTTGAGACACTACAGCTCCTCTTTACGTTACATTAACATTACATTTACATTACATTACAAAGCAACAGAATATGCTAATCCTTGTCTACATCAATAGCCTTGTAACGGTCTCATTCCCAATCTGCAATATGGAAACAATGGATAGTGGTTTTGCCCCTTGACCAGCTCATGGCTGAGATGAGATTTAAACCAGGGACTTCCCACCTTAGGGCAGCATACAGCTGTCTTCCCTCATCCATTTTACCCTCATAACAATCCTGTGAGGCATGTTAGGCTGATAGAGTGACTTGCCCAAGGTAATACAATGTGCTTCTTGGCAGCGTGGAGTTTTGAACCTGGATCTCTCAGGTCCTAATCTGTACTCTGACCACCATACCACACGGACTGGAAACAGTTGCTACAATAACACAAGAAGTATTAGTTCAGTCCTTGAACATGTGTTTCTGTTGGCATATTGTAGGTTATACAATCCTTTTCTGAAGGTAATTGAGAGAGCTTTATTCAGTAGTTACTCAAATGTTTTCTTTCATTCCAAAATTCATAACTTATTTTCTGCTATTCATGTTGACTCCTCTAGGTTGTCGATTGGACTAGTTCTCATTTATTCATCCCTGAGCCTGCATTGCAGGGAGGGCGGGGTATAAATGTGATTAATAAATAAATCTATTTATTCATTCTTTGGCTCTACTCTGTATGTTCTTTACCAAAAACTGTTCCACATTTTCAGGGGACTACTCGAACATACAGTTGTAGTAGTGCTTGCCATTTGAATCTTTGGAGGATTGAGATAAAATGTATATTTTCATGAAACAGACCTTGTAATGATAATTTCTCTTAAGGTTATCATAGTAACTTGAAAAGCTAGCCCTATTATATTAAATAAGGTTCTGTTTTGTCTGTTTCAGCATGTTGTATGTTGTGCAGATGGTCACTATTTTATTTTTCTTTCTTTATAGGAGTCTGGCATAACTTTGTGCTTGGAGTTGCCAGTCTTGTGGTTCTCTTCATACTGCCAGCTCTTCTTTTTCCATTCTATTATACTGGTGCAGGGGCACTTGTTACTGAAATCACAGAGGTAAGACCAGGGAGGGATTAAAACAACTGGTAACCTGGAGAGTCAGGCTCTGCAGACTCTCTCTCCTCACTCCCATTTTATTCTATGGGGCTTGTTCCCCATTTCAGCCATTCTAATTGTACTGTCTAGGAAATCTAGCTTATGAAGCGGCTGTCAGTTCTGGGCTGAAAATGCTGGGAGGCTGTCTGGGAGGTAGTAGACTTGGAGCTCTGGAACTGGTCAATTTCTCCTCTTTTATCTGACAGAGTTGATTCAGTCACCAAAGCAGTGGCCACGTTTCTGGCCCTGGTGGCAAAAAAAAAAAAAAGGAACAAGGAGGGGAAAGCTCAAACTGTTCTGACTTGATGTAGCGGGTTCCAGTTGGAGGAATTATTTTATTTAGCCAGACGATTTTAGACAGTTTAACACACTCATATTGGGATAATGCACCCTACTGTTCATGTATGTGCTTTTTAAATAGTGTTGACATTTTACTGGTTGTTTTTATTCCATAAATGTGTGTATGTGTGCTTAAGACTTTTGGTCATGCAAGCCGAAATAAATATATATATAACTGTTAAATTTGCCAAGTTACCTTGTCAGTTAGGAAGGGCTTGATACTACAACTGGAACATAATTCAGTTTAGTGTAGTGGTAAGAGCTGTGGACTCTAATCTGGAGAACCGGGTTTGATTCCCCACTCCTCCACATGCAGCCAGCTGGGTCAGTCACAAGTTCTCTCAGAACTGTTCTCTCAAGAGCAGTCCTCTCAGAGCTCTCTCAGCCTCACCTACCTCACAGGGTGTCTGTTGTGGGGAGAGGAAAGGAAAGAGATTGTAAGCCACTCTGAAACTCCCAAGTGAAGGGCAGGGTATAAATCCAATCTCTTCTTCTAATTAAACAATCATTCAGTGTACCAGTAGCAATAATTCTGGTACTATGCATTCTTTATTTTGTTTGGCTGGGAACCAAAGTTCCACATATGGTATTCTGCATGTGTGTGACAGGCTTTTAGGTATTCCTTTTTCTGATGGTGACTTCAAGTCTCCCTCATCCTGTAAAACTCTCATACCAAACATCTGGGGGTCCTCTATAGCACCCTATCAAGTGCAGGGAATGTCTACCAGGTAGAGTTGTTATAACTGTTACTGAATGGTTAGGTGAGATAGGGACGGCCAGTAACTATTTGTAATGAATGGTTAAGTGTGATAAATTGGATGAGTGTGGAATTTTTCTGGTATGATCAATCAAATTTGTATTTTTGGTACAGCAGATTAGTCAGGTTATAGTTTGTTTAGCAGCTGAGTTGGATTAGATTGTGTTTGCAGCACTAGGAGTGGATATTGCGGTAGCTCTTGTAAGGAGGACCTGTTTGGTTAGCTAGCCCACCAGTGGTCTGGCGCCACAGCATGTACTGGTCAGTGCAGCTATGCTAGGACAGCAAATTCTGGTGCTCTTTGGGAGGGGAAAGCATAGCGGTGGGTCCAGGCGGAGTGGTAAGGGAAGGACGCTGAGAAACAGAATGGCTCGGCGCTCTTCCAGCCTGTGACCCATCCCAAAGGATGTCAGCGGTGGAGCTGACATCCTTTTTTCTAAATGACTGTGCTATGGAGCAGATGGTCACGGAACCTACCAGGGGAGAGGCGATCCTTGATTTGGTCCTAAGTAACACTCTGGGCAAGGGGGCGCATATAGATGTTAAACAACATCGGGGAGAGCACCACCCCCTGAGGCATACTGCATACACTCAAGACCTGGTGAGAGATGTAAAAGTGATTGCACCACTTGGAAACAGTGATCATAATGTTGTTGAGTTCATCATTTGTACAAATAGAGAATTGGCCAAAAAGACTCACACAACCATTTTTAACTTTAAAAGGGGTAATTTCTCTGATATGAGGGGACACGTGGGGAGGAAACTGAAAGGAAAAGTAGAAAGGGTCAAAAAAATTGGGGAAGCTTGGGATCTATTTAAAACTACAATCCTAGAAGCTCAAAAAATATATATTCCGCAGGTTAGGAAAGGCACAAAAAGGTATAGGAAAAAGCCTGCATGGTTAACAAACAGAGTAATGGAGGCTGTAAAAAGTAAAAAGAATTCCTTTAAACAGTGGAAAGCTAGTCACAGTGAGGCTGATAAAACGGAACACAGGCTATGGCAAATAAAATGCAAGTCTGAGGTCAGGCAGGCAAAAAGGGAATATGAGGAGCATATAGCAAAAAACGTAAAAACCAACAATAAAACTTTCTTCAAATACATTAGAAACAGGAAACCAGCCAGGGAGGCAGTGGGGCCCTTGGACGACCAAGGGGTAAAAGGAGTATTGAAGGATGATAGGGAAATGGCTGAGAAGCTAAATGCATTTTTTGCCTCCGTCTTCACTGTGGAAGATGAGAAGTGCTTGCCCACTCCAGAACCACTGATTTCAGGAGGGGTGTTGGAAGACCTGAGTCAGATTGAGGTGACGAGAGAGGAGGTCCTAAAACTGATAGACAACTTAAAAACTGAAAAATCACCAGGCCCAGATGGCATACATCCGAGAGTTCTGAAAGAACTCAAATGTGAACTTGTAGATCTCCTGACAAAGATATGTAATCTTTCCTTAAAATCTGCCTCCATTCCTGAGGATTGGAAGGTAGCTAATGTCACTCCCATCTTTAAAAAGGGTTCCAGAGGAGATCCGGGAAATTACAGGCCAGTCAGTCTGACGTCGATACCGGGTAAATTGGTGGAAACCATTATTAAGGAAAGAATTAGTAGGCACATAGATGAACAAAACCTATTGAGGCAGACTCAGCACGGTTTCTGTAAGGGAAGATCTTGTCTCACTAACCTGTTAGTGTTCTTTGAGGGGGTGAACAAACATGTGGACAAGGGGGATCCAATAGATATTATTTACCTTGACTTCCAGAAAGCTTTTGATAAAGTTCCTCATCAAAGGCTCCTAAGTAAGCTCAAAAATCATGGGATAGAAGGACAAGTCCTTTTATGGATCAAAAACTGGCTAGTTCATAGAAAACAGAGAGTGAGTGTAGGTGGGCAATTTTCTCAGTGGAGGGTGGTAAGCAGTGGGGTACCGCAGGGATCAGTACTTGGTCCACTGCTTTTTAACTTGTTCATTAATGATTTGGAGATGGGAGTAAGCAGTGAAGTGGCTAAATTTGCGGATGATACAAAGTTGTTCAGGGTGGTGAAAACCAGTGAGGATTGTGAGGCACTCCAAGGGGATCTGTCAAGGATGGGCGAGTGGGCGTCAACATGGCAAATGGGGTTCAATGTGGCCAAGTGCAAGGTGATGCACATTGGAGCCAAAAATCCTAAATATAAATACACATTGATGGGGTCTGAACTGGCAGAGACTGAGCAAGAGAGAGATCTTGGAGTTGTAGTGGATAACTCACTGAAAATGTCGAGACAGTGTGTGACTGCAATAAAGAAGGCCAATGCTATGCTGGGGATTATTAGGAAGGGTATTGAAAACAGATCAGCCAATATAATAATGCCCCTATATAAATCAATGGTGAGACCTCATTTGGAATACTGTGTGCAGTTCTGGGCACCACACCTTAAAAAGGATATTATAGCTTTGGAAAAAGTGCAGAAAAGGGCAACTCGAATGATAAAAGGGTTGGAACACTTTCCCTATGAGGAAAGGTTAAAGCGCTTAGGGCTCTTTAGCTTGGAGAAAAGACGACTGAGGGGTGACATGATCGAGGTTTATAAGATTATGCATGGGAAAGAGCAGGTAAAGAAAGAGGTACTTTTCTCCCTTTCTCACAATACAAGAACTCGTGGGCACTCCATGAAACTGCAGAGCGGTCGGGTTAGAACGGATAAAAGGAAGTACTTCTTCACCCAAAGAGTGATTAACACATGGAATTCACTGCCACAGGAAGTGGTGGGTGCTACAAGCATGGACGGCTTCAAAAGGGAATTAGATAAGCATATGGAGCAGAGGTCCATCAGTGGCTATTAGCCACAAGGTATAGCTAGGGGCTCTGGGGCAAGTGATGCTCTGTCTTCTTGGTGCTTGGGGGGGGGGTCAACAGTGGGAGGGCTTCTAATGTCCTGGCCCCACTGCTGGACCTCCTGATGGCACTGGTATTTCTGGCCACTGTGTGACACAGAGTGTTGGACTGGATGGGCCTTTGGCCTGATCCAACATTGGCGTCTCTTATGTTCTTATGTTCTTATGACTGATAACCCCCCTCTGTCTTTGGTGTTGTGCAATGCCAGGTCTATTGATAATAAGACCGTAGTCCTTCGGGACTTTGTCATGGAACAACAGGTAGATCTGGCATGCATGACTGAGACCTGGGTATGGGAGGGGGAGTCTGTAGCTCTCTCCCAACTGGCCCCACCTGGGTTCTCGGTCCTACAGCAATCACAGACTAGGGGGTGGGGGGGAGGAGTGGCGATATTCCTGCGGGAGGCTTACTCCTTCAGGGCACTCCCCCCGCTAGAGACTGAGGGCATGGAGTGTGTCGGTCTGGTGTTGGGGGCCGAGGAGAGTTTGGCAATCTGGCTGGTGTACCGACTGCCTAATGCACCGGCCAGTAGCCTGCCGTCCCTGCTGGAGGCCATATCAGGCTGGGTGCCGGAACATCCCAGGCTTCTGATCCTGGGTGACTTTAACGTCCATGCCGATGATGGGCAACAGACCTAGTAACGTCCATGGCGTCGCTGGGACTCTCCCAACTGGTATCGACCCCCACGCATCATGTTCGATTTGATCTTCGCGGCGGGGATTATGGTGGACCGGATTACTGCAGTAGCAATACCATGGTGAGACCACTATGCCCTGAAGATCCGCTTGAACGTTCCACCCCGACCCTGTTTAGGCGGCGAGCAGTTTTTAGCTCGCCCACGGAGTCAAATAGACCTGGTGTGGTTCCAAATGGCTCTGCAGGATCCGATGCCCCCTGGCAGCTCGTTGTATGAACTGGTGGAAGAATGGCATAGCCGACTTTCCACGGCCATTGACAAGATCGCTCCTCGGTGCCCTCTGCGTGCTAGCCCT